TTTGTTGCTCCTCCGACAAGCTGCTTTTTTTGCGGGTGAAAAAATTTTTACCAAATTTCAATTCACTGTCTGCGTTGCTCGCATTGGTCATGAAACAAGCTTCGAGACTGGACTTTCTCATGGCCTTCAACTCATCCTCACGATTCTCAAGTATATGAATTAAACGATTAAACTCGGCTTCATATGCGGGTGGCAAGACCGCATCATCGCCACAAATCTGATCCTCCCACTCTTTTAAGGCTTGTTTGTGCTCTTCCGTAAAATTTTTCTCGAGTCTGCAGTAGAGCTTGTAGTGCTTCATTCGCTCAGGATTAGCTTCGTGTCCATGTGTGCCAGCACCAGTACGCAAACAAGACTTCAAATCCTTGCCCAAACCTTTAAGCACATCGCATTGTGCTTGGATGTAGGCTAACAATGCGGCAAAGCCCGTCTCTGCCATGGCTACAGCCCACACACGATGCACCGCGAGCCACAACGCCGCACGATGGATCGACTTGAGGCCCGATGGTGTGTTAACAAAACAGTCTTGTCAGCTCTGATGAGTGGTCCTCTGTAAAAAGTGTGTTCTGCAGTCATGTTGCTTTGCGTCTACTTTTTGCTCTCAACTGTTCACACATTACAAGTCTTGTGTTCTTGGCGCTCTTGCGTGAGTCTTGCTAAATACTCCAGCGCGGACCACAACGTCGCACGCTGGATGACACCTCTGCCTGAAAAACAATGGCCTCAACCTCTTAGCGTGTATGTATGTAGTAACTTCGTGCATGTAAAGTATGCTTTGAGTAGAGTGAATGTAAAGTAAAGTCTCTCTAACACAAATTTACAAAGAAACATTAAAAATAACTCTTGTCTACAGCAACTTGTTTGCGTAGTGGTGTTTGACATATAGAAACGGCAGCGAAGAGGTATCGATACCGCACGTGACCTGAACTTGGACGGTATTCTCAAGTGGCGGCAGACCTATCGGAGTGTCCACGTTCTCTCCAACGTGCGCGTCCTCCAGTCAAACGCACGCGCTCCGGACTTTGGATCCACGGGATTCCACGTGTGTAGTGTAGGGAATCCGAATTGGCATGTAAAACCTGTCACGCATACACGCAACCAAATACTGTCAGTATGAACTGCGCCCAAAACTTCAACCTGTGTTGGGTTGACCGACCTGCTAAAAAAACAATCAACTGCAACCAGTGTTGGGTTATGCTGAGTGGTGTATGATGAGTGATGTACGATGAGTGGTGTATGACGAGTGGGACCCACGTGTGGAGTCCTTGTACATCCCCACGTCTGACATAGAGAAAGAATCGAGAGACGATCTCCGCATCAGCAACAAAACCCGTGAGTTACGGAGAAATTGTTCACACTTGCGCACCCTACTTTCGAACACCTGCGGCCAAGAGTATCCACAACTCACGCGCCTCTGCTTTTTGTCTGGGCGACTGTTCACGCGGCCCACATCGGCGCGCGTGCTTTCGTGTAACATTTCGTAACATTTCTCTGTCACATCAGCTATACATTTCCAGTAACATCGTCGGGGTGACGTCCGAGATGACGCAGCAGAGTGTCGGTGTCGTAGGTTCCGTCAGTTCGGCATGGCATCTCCTCAACTTTGATGCGAACTGGAGGATCCAGTCTGTGAAAGCCAGTCTCCAGATTCACTCCGCTAAATTCCAGGCACCCGTCATCGGACCGCACCGGTGCCTCCGAGTACACGAGCTGGCGGCCGTGAGTGCAAGACTTGCATAACAGTTTTTCCGTATCACATGTAGTACAGATTGCGACGGCCGGTCGGATGGAACATGTTTCACACCAACTGTGTGTCCAACGCCCGCACTGATCGCACGGTGCCGCACCTAAACGGCGCCCAGCTTGCTCGGAACTATAGGTGGCAACAGCATATGCCTCGCGGGCTCCCGGTACAGAGACTCGTTGACCCCACGTCAATTCCAGAGCCACCGCTCGAGGGTGAGCACGCGAAAAGTCAGCAGCCTTGTGTTTCCACCTGGGCCAGTCATACACTGCGAGTGCCATGGCCGCACGGTAACGGCGGTCTGTGATCTTATTGGGTACGATGACTATACACCGAAACAAACCTGGGTATGCCTATAGCACGTTCCACCGCGACGCGGGTCACATCACCGCACGACACGGAGAGGAAAGCGTGAATTCTTGAACACATGTGCGACAGCTCTGCACTATATACATCCGCATGTACGCCTCAAAAAAAAGAAACTACATATATGGTCTTGGTGCCTCATAGGTCATGTAAATTGCCAAACATGGAAACGGCTGCGGAAACACACCACGCACATTCTCCTTCGATGAGCGCCCCTGCGAGGTGCTCGGTCACCATGTGTCAGGCAAAAACAATTCCTTGTTCCATCTGCAAACCTCAACCAGTCAAATTTCCATTCGAAGGTATGCATTTATCGTACCAGTCAAATTTCCATTCCATGGTATGCATTTATCGTTCTCCCGAAACCATGGTCAGCTACATGTACGGATCCGACGACAACAACTCATGCGCAGTCGAACCAGTCCAACCCCTGGTTCTTTCCCAACGGTGTTTGTGGTCAGCCACATGTATACGACTCCAAAGCAACAACAACATGCGTGTCCCTTGGCCAGACGATCAGCCTCCGGACTTTTGACCACCACGTTGCCAGCTGCGCGAGGTCTATATGCTGGCATGTTGTGTGCATGTCACGGCAAGCAGCAGCCCACATCGGCGTGCTGAAACAACGTTGTAACTGCACTTCCTTCCGGTTTGCGTGGTCCACAGCGACGCACGCAGACCTGCATGCCAAGGAACAACTCACCCACTACTTCTGGCAGGGTCCGGTACTGGGGGTTCTCTGCCAGCGATCCAAACCACCGGGGGCTGCCGCAGACCTAGCGTCATAGCAATGGCAATTTCTGCGCCAGCGTGCGGCATATGCAACCGACCACCGCGTGCGGTTTTGGATATCATGATCCAGGTCCCAATGAAAGCACAAGCCTCCTCGTCTCGCAATCGAGTGCATTGCGTCAGTTTTGCGTTCGTGGTGATATCGTCCCGGACCAAAACGTCCCAGCAAGCTTCACACACGCCACTTCGGGTGTGCTCAAAGACGCCTCCTGTACTGCGTGTGTTGGCGTTTTCACATGTAATGCAGCGTGTCGCCTCGAACATAGGCGGTACCCGCAAATGTTGCTGCAGGACCTTTTTGAAATTTTCCAAAATTGGATCTTGGAGCACATAGAAACCGGGCAAAGCCATGGCAAGGCGGTGGTCGTCCACAACGCGGTGCCACACCCAAGCGCCGTAGATGACAGCAAAGAACGCTACAGGACCGTGTGGAGGGTGTGCGGAAAGCATATGCTCGATGTGAGATGTCAGTATGTGACTGATGCTGCGTCGATATCTGGATTTAGGATATCTGGTTTATGAGAAGTGCTGTGTGATGAGTGGTGTATTAGGAGAGTTGCATGATCAGTGGTGTCTGATGCGTGCTGCGTGAAGGTTTGCTCGTAAACATGTGCCTTCCACCAAAGTGCATGGTGGACGAAACGCATCACATGGAGCCAATGCGCAGCCAGCAGATTCCACAAGGGTTCTCTGTCGGAACCTCATCTTGTTCGAGTACAGAACACCTCGTTGCGGGTCTTTCTTTTCCATCTGAACCCTGGCCGTCGTGTTCACGACAAGCGTCGTGTTTTTGGGGAAGAGACGTCACAGACAGCAGATCAGGGCATGTATGGGTTCTATTGTCTGAACGTCTGTACGAACCACATGCCGAACTTAAATCACATACACCTCTCTAGTCGACGGACCTGACACACGTCACCCACTTCTCCCCCACCGAGACACCGACCAACGACGAGCTGAGGACTCGGTCGGGCCGAAGCGGCTGGTTCGCGTTCGTCGGACCGACGTTGGGGTGTTACAGCCGACAAGTGCATGTAACACTGCTGTTCATCGACCACTGTCCAATTGCCCAACCTGAAAAACCATGGTCTCATGTCCAAACACCAACGAACGAATTGTCCATGCATTGTTTTCGATCCTACTGGTCATCAATGAAGACCCTGCAGGTACCCTGATCCGACTGCGCGGAGTCCAATCGAAAACCCACATGTGCGCCCCTGGCCCAGAAGCACATCCTCAGTCCTTTTCATCAATGCAGTCTCACCTGCGTTAGGTCTGCGCCCCCTCCCGGATCAGCAGCTCGCAACAGCGTACTGATCCAAAGGAACCGCTTGCAGTAGCACACAGGTTGTGTGTCTCTCACAGCCAGATCAGCAGCCCACATCGGCGTGCTGAACATGCTGGGTATTTTCCATCGAAAATCAGGTACCGCTGCTGCACGCGCGCGATGTGCGCGGTCTCTTCAAGCCTATGATCATGTCCTCCAGCATTTGGTGCGTAATGTTCTGACCCCGCTCCAGTTCCTTAATTTTGACTCGTTCGTCTCTGGAAAAACAACGATAGTCCGGCTGGTCGGGGCAAGGCGGCTGCGACTCAAAGATCATGTGCGGCCTCTGCTGTCTCTTTTCTTTCGAGTAGAACGAGGATACCACCGCGGTTGCTTAAACAGCTGGAATCTTCTCTCCGGGTTGCGGTGGTACTGTTCATTTGCGGGGCAAACATAACCGAGCGCAGACAACAACGTCGCCACGAAGCCCAGGCCCGTCTCGTCTGCTTTGCCCCGAACATCCATGTCTTGACGGTCAAGATACTGGAGCGCACTAAACATCAACTGCCGGCCGTGACGCTCTGTTAACGAGTGTCGTAAGTTGCAGACGGTACCATAACCGCAAACTTCTAAATGCGACTCACAGCGACGCTCTTTGGTCTCCTGTTGTTGGCAGCCCAGCGCCACGAGCCAAATACGATCTTCATCGTTGTCGCAATATCTTTGCGCTCGGCATTTGTCCCCCCAGGCAGTGTGCAAGTTAAGGCTGTGCAGCGCAGGGACTACTCTGGGTCTTTTCTCCAGCATTCTTTGTTGCCATCCGCCTCCAACACCAAATTTCACACCACAACCTTCCAGGAAATCGATCGCAGCCACACGGAACGTGGCTTGAAAATACATCTCGACAGCAAGCAAGCGTCCGACGTGATACTCAAAGTGTCCTCGAAGGTGTGGGTGAAAAACATTCTCGGGTCTCAGCGAAGACAAGAACAAATTGCCCAGAATCTGATACTGCACCGCTGCAAGGCAGTCAGCGGTTTCACTGTCTCTCGTCACTGGCGGTGGTGGTGGCAACCCTTCGGCATCGTCTGCGCGGGTCACATCACCGCGCGCAGACGCGGCATCATCTGCACGGGTCACATCACCGCGCGCAGACGACAACCACCAGGGTGCTGGCAACCGACTCTTGCGGAAGGCCGCCAGCAGTTTTTGTCGAAGCTCATTGCCCAAAAGCTCTTCAAGAAATAGCTCCTCAGGGATGCACGCACCA